AGTCTCCTCACTGCACTGTCCGTGACCCCACTTCCTCCCTGGGCGTCCATAGCCCATTTTACATGAATAATGGCCAGCAACAGATAGGGCAATTTAAAAAATTCAACCTTCACTACTGATAAGTTTGGAAAATACTGGTATACACAGCAAGCGGGGAATTTCAATACAGTTTGATAAAATCTAGCATGACAATAAATACATCCTAATAATTAATTATTTCAGACAGTTTTTTAAAGCCTATTTTAAACTTCATAATGAGCGTTTCAAGCATATATGAAGATAAACAGTATACTACATTCCTCGGATTTCTAAGTTATCAGCACTTTACCACATCGGCATCATTTATTCTTCCCTTTCCTTATTGTTAGCATTATCATTGCTACCGTATTTTGAAGCAAATGTCTGACATTACTTTTCTGGAAACTTCTGTTGCATATATGACAACCACATAACCACATCATACCTAACAAAACTGACCACTGCTTAGTATCATGCAATTGTTTTGCTGGGTGCGGTTAAGTCGGTTTCAATCAGAGTGGCCCCGTGGCACTGGACAGAACACTGCCTGGTCTTACGCCATCCTCAGTCTTTGCTATGTTTGAGCCCATTGTTGATGATGCTCTATTGATCTATCTCATTGCTGAACCTCTACTTTACCAAGCATGATGTCCTTCTCCGGGACCGCTTTTAATAAAATGTTCAAAGTATGTCAGCTACCATCTCACCACTCTTCCTTCTAAGAAGCATGTGTCTTCCAAGACAGACTAATATTGTCTAATATTCCATCTGAATTCAAATTTCCTCAATGGCCTTAATTAAAACAGGACCCAAACAAGATGTGCAGGCTAAGTTCGTTCCTGGTATCCCTTTTACCCTGGAACAATTCCCTGACCCTCTGTTATCCTTTGCCCCTTCCAGACTTTTCCACATGGTATTGATTTTTGTGAAGAAACTGGGCTAACCATTCTACATTCTGGATTTGTCTTTTGCGTCCTCATATTGTTTAATTTACTCTTGTATCTCCTGGTTTTCCAGTAAATTGGGATTCAAATATACAAACTAGAAGAGCTTCCGGTTTCCTTTCTGAAGGGAGGAATTCATATTTGTTACAAGTATTGTATCCAGGTGAAATCCTGGTTCAAGGGCCACACTGAGAACCAATGCACTAACAGTTTTGACACTTATTCGGGTCACTACCTGTGCCAGTGAGTCCATTAGAGGTTGCAAATTACTGAATTCCTAATTTTCAAAACTTCTATCACATTTTAGATGAAATTCTTCTGTAAAATGGAAAGTTTTCTCTTGTCAGCTAGGGCTCTTTGGTTCCCGAGACAGAACTTGAACAGGTCAGGAAGAATGGACACTTAATTCCACGTGACTACTAAACGTTTGCTGTTCCTGTGGTTCCCAGACCCAGTTGTGGTTCTCTAGTGCCACGATGACAGGCATACCACAAAGCGTGGCTTTCACACCCGCTTATTCTCTCCGTGTAGAGGCTAGGAGTAGACATTTAGGGAACCAGTTCTCAGAGAAGGCTTTCTCTCTCTGTGGATGATGGAGGAAGGACCTTGCTTCCTTTAACATCCACAGGCCCAGCGTTTGTTGGAGATCTCATGTGTCTTGGAGTCAATTTTACGCTTGGGTCTAGAAGGTTCTCAGCCCAGGGACCCTGGGTCCAAAGGATGCGTTCTGCTTTTGGCTCTTCCTTGGTGGTAGTAGGTCCCTCTTTCTCTGCTTGCTTCTCTTCCTTTTTATGTCTTGAAAGATAAACA